TTTACTGAAACTTTTTTTTCCCCCCCCTGCATGATGCCATACACAAATGCAAGGGCTTGCAATCCAATTTGTCTCTCCTACTTCAGATACTCATGTGTCCTCCTGGTATGGCTTGGTCCAAAGTTCTAATCCCATTTCAACGCTGACCTTTCTACCCACCTCTCCTGTGAAACCTCCCACCAAAAACAATTCAGCATTTTACTTTGGTTTCATTCCTTCCCCATCTCCCTCAGTATTCTTTCAGGGAGTTGAAACAAACTTCTGATAGTTGCTCTGAAAACAGCAAGGAAATGAAAAGTACTAAGAAGATGCAAGTCACTTCTAATAACGAAATATTACCCAATTTCCTTCAGGCTCCTGAGAGAGTGAGCCTGGACATTTACCCACAAGTCACTCATCTGTGGATTTTAACTATGGCAGAATTCTCTACAGATGGAAAGAGCTATTTTGGCATCCCATCTTATCTAGCTACAAGCACAGTTATACAGCAACTAGTGTTTTGTCAAATCAAGTTGTACCACAAGTAACTAAAGTCTCTACCACTCTTAGTCTGGGATACTGTCACAATCTAAGCAGTTTCATTAACAGAAAACGTTTTCCTCCTCGCATTTTCACCCAAAGGTCAGCCCAGTACTCTCTATTAGTTTTACAAGTAAATTTAAACTTTAACCTCCACATTGCTTGCATCCTTTCAATATCTGTAGGTGCTCAAGCAGTAGTGTAGTTTGTTGTAACAAAAATAATAATTACAATGAAGACTGTCACAGACAGGATTTGAAAAGCAGGTAGTGTAGCAGGATTCAGAAGCCTTTAAGAAAGAGGTGAAAGGGCACACAGAAAATGAAACTGTCTCATCCCCCCGCTCCCCCTGCCTCAAGTGACAGAGCAGAGCTTTCACAACTAGAAAGCTGACTACACCTGAGAAAGAAACAGCTTGTATCGCTACCATTTCACATGATATAGCTCTTCTGGAGTACAAAGGTACAACAGATTTTCCTGCTTCTGCTTAGTTCTTCATCTAGGTTCTTCTCACCTCTGTCCCGAAGTACCACTACACACCAGACTTCATGTTCTTCCACAGACAACATAAGCATTTTACACTACCCTGGCCTGGTATTTCAGTCTGCTGTTTCACTGACCATGAATCTCTTTCATCCACATATTAATTCTTCAAAAGTTCATAACTCATACCACCTTCACATGGGGAAATTTCTTTATTTCAAAAGGAGAGCAGTCCATACATGCAGACAAATTCATGTAGTTACCAATATACATAGCCACACTTGTCAGAACTCTGACAAGAAGCACACATGGAAAATATAAGTATATATGATAGGATTACCTGTGAGATTAGCTGCCATCTCTTCAGCAGTCTGAGACAGCCTCAGCCCTTGTTTTAGGGGACCTTCCGAGTCCACATACTGACGGCGTTTGAGGTAGCAGGACACTGCCATCTGAATCTGTTCTGTGCGTACGCGTTTCATGACCTAAAAAGAAAAGGAGATGATGAGGCTCTTACTGTGTAGGTATATGCTAAGATCAACATACACCAAAGCTCTGTTAAAACTGATAGAAGACAAACAGCTCAGTATTTTAATTGCTGAAGTCAAACAACTTCATCACTGAAATATGAAACAAAGCCTTTAGGCATTTGCCTCTCAGGACTAAGGTGTAACTGGACAGTTTAAATCAGATCCCTGAAGATATTTTGCTGCCTAATTCTACTAATTTCACTGAGGAATTAAAAATACTTTTGAGGATTCTGGACTAAAACTGCAGTGGTGAGCTGAAGCATTTGTTTTTGTTAAAAATAACTCATAAAAAGCGAACGTTTCTCCTCCTTGCTTTTTTACAGTAGCAGTTTGGGTATTTTTAAGCCATTTTCTGATTCCTCTGCTTGACCAATCAACAAAACAATTCCAGAAGAATCAAGGGAATGGGAAAATAATATACAATGCAGGAAATTTCAGAATGATAATGCTTTAAATAGCACACCTATTTGGGGAGTCCAAGAAGCAATAGCTTATTGCCTGAACTTAAAAGTTAGGGTCAGACTTCTGGCACTTCAGTCAGGTAAGCCTCCAGAAAAAAAACAGGGAAATTAAAACAGTCTTCTGCCTTGTTTACCTGCCTCCATCTATACAGACTTCCCTCCTATGGAAGTTAAAAAAACCCCAAAGAATCCTTTGAAGTTTCCTTTATATAAATTTTGAAAGCCACCCTCACAAACACCTCTGGTAGTAGCAGAACCAAAAGGAGCCCGATGCTAGCTTTAGCCTTTGGCTTGTAATAAAAGAACCTCAATAAGATGAATGCAATAGTTCCCTTCCTATTTGAGTAGTCCCTGACTGCCACCAAACCTTCGCAATAGCCATCGATTTTACACAGAAGCTTAGATAACCTAAAAGCCTTTAAACAAAGCAGAATGAAGCTACAGTTTTGTTCTACCAGAATAATAGGTAAAGCCTGCCTCAAGATAGTGCTACACCTTACAGCCCCACTACCAGCGACCTGCGTACATTTTACAAGTGTACCTGCTTTCTGGTTTGAGTAGACAAATCTGATGAAACACAGATTCTCAGAGACAGACAAGGATGCCCTTCCCCCTGTTGTAAGACTGGTATTTCTAACAAAATGACAGCTTTAAAAATACAATCGTAAATGAGCCTTTTCCAGTACCCATGCACACTTTGGTGCTTATCCCAGTTGTCCGAACAATAAGCCCTCTGTGAAGTTCCAATCAGACAGAGATGCAAGGTTTCAGCAAAAGTTACTTTAAACAGATATATGGAATTGCGAACCCATATGCTTTGGTGAAAACCTTAAAAATATTTCCATTTGTTCTCACAGGTGAAATAACTGTTGTGGGTGGGGAAGCAGCATCAACAGGTGTGGATTTTTCAAAGCATTTCCAGATAGACCCATTAAAATCATGAGTTTCAACCACAACTTTTTCCACTCCAAAAGCAAACTTCCTTTTTACCTTCCTTGCAATTAAAGAAATTATATCCGAGACTTAAACTGTCTCAAATATAACACTTTTTCTGCTTCACAAAAGACAGAATTATAATGAAGACCATGAAGAAGGGTGGACACAGGGACTGACCAGCATCTTAGCATCTTCCTAAAAAACACCTTTAGCTGTGTAATGCATTACATTACCATTCTGCAATACAGATAGCAACACGGACTCATGTACAAGTGACTGGCCCTGGTCCACACTAATGCCTCTGCATGCAGTCTGACATATCGCTCAGGTTTGGTTAGCAACCTAATTATATTTGTGATGCTCTCATAGATGATTATTTCAGGTCTAGAAACCATTTTGGAGAGTTTGCATCTAGATTTTTTTTTATTTGGCTTATAACACAAAGGAAACTCACTCCCAAAATGGCATGGAACGGATTCAACTGAATGTTTTTGAAGTGGTTTAGCCAGTCAAAATTGTGCAAATCGTCCTCAGGTCTGTGGTTCAACTGCAAAGAGAGAGCATCTAGAAATATCCTTGCCCATACTTTTTTGCTTCAGTTACAGGACCAATTTGCGCTGGGTAGGATTTGGTGAGAAAATCCTTATTCATTATGGCACAGCATACACGTACAGATAATTCCTCATAAACCCATAACGGATCAGAGAAAAAGAGAACTGGTGTGTGAAAGATGCAGAACTCCAAAGGACTCTTTGAACTCACAATGACAAATAAGAGGAGCACTGAGATCAGCCTTTTCAAGCTGCAGAATGAGCAGATGACCAACAGAGAAAATGATCAATTTTAAATGATAGACAAAAAAAAAACAAAACAGTAGGTTACTCAGTAGTTGCAAACTCTCACATCAGTATCAGACATTTAAGGAGCAAGAGCGACAGGCCTGGGAAAGGGGCAGTCATTGGCAGAGGAGTAAAATCTGAGCTTTTTCAGAGTTTTGGGGCAGCAGGGAAGCCCCAGTCTCTTCAGCCAAGATTAGCAAGGTGGCATTTGCAGCTGCTTTATGCAATCTGTACAGTTTCTTGCTCCCTTCACATACCTTGTATACTCCTCCCAGCAGTCAAAGCAGCGGGTGTTACGAGCAGTATCTCGAGATCTCTTTCCC